AGAATCATCATTGGGAAATACTGTAATTCTGTTAGAGATGCGGCTATTTATCCAATTCTCGCTCCTGATAGTCCTCGTTATCTGAAAGTCATGTGGGCTTGGTTCGTTGACCGATCTGTGCGGTGAGCCTCAAAGGAGATGGGGCATGATGCTAACCGAGAATGGCAGGACTCCCACTTAAATGAATATGGCAGTAAGCAAAAAAGAGCACACCCGGATTACATCTGACACAACTGCTGGTGTATGAGCCTCTGCAGTACAGCCGCTGGGGCTTTGAACAAATTTTGAGCACGCCGAACCTATTAGCAGATACTCCAACCACCGCTCCAAGCACATACCGATTTCTCACATTAGAATTGGGCTAGACATGCCGCCACAGGATAGCACATGTGTATAGACCGAAAATAACTGATGAAGTAGTATGGAATCGTGATAAGGCATCATTCCTTTCAACAGCATCTCCAATCTAGCGTAGGGGATAATACTCAGGCAGCCGTATTTGGAGCTAGGCGATAAGGCTCATAAGGTCAGACGGTAGACCCCAGGTTGAATCGGGGACCTTGGATCTGGTCGGCTTATTCGCTTTTGCCCGCGTTGCAAGGCCTTAAGCGCCAGTCTAATGTTGGCTTGAGATCCAAACTGGCGCGTCCCTTCCGTCTTCGAACAAGTCTCGTTACATTGAGTCGATGTTCCATCTTCACTCCCATGGCTGATCATTACCTTCTTGAAGGTTGAAGGGATCTCTACTGCTAAGGCCCCCAAAAGCCACCTCTGTCTCGTGTTGGTCGAATTCCAATTTATCGCCCAGGCACGGTGGCGCAGACCGGGTGACGCGGACGATGCGGGTGATGTACCGACCCTGACCTCAAGGTTAGCCTCCCAAAATGCCCAAGACATTGACCATGCACCATCTTCAACGCCTCGACAAGGGTAGGCAGTGGAGTGCATGAGGGAATAGTTCCTCACTAAACCATGGGTATTCGCCCCCCGAAGCCATACACAGTCGCCAAGCGCAAATATATGGAGTACTATAAGCTTTTTGAATGCCAGTCAATCGGAATGGGACAGAGGGTACTCGACAGCACTTATGCTTGGCTAAACGGGATGAGAATTATCTCCTGCAGTGCGTTCCCCGCCCTGCCTCAACTCATGAAGAAGATAAATTTGGCGTGGGAGGCAACAACTCATCGTGTGGAATCCCATTCACCATCATAGGATAAGTTGTTTGAGCACGGTCTGATTGGTTCTTTACGTCTATACACATACAAGCAGTAAAACTTTCTTATCGTTTCTCGAAGGGACTATTCCCCCTTATCTTCTCACTCACTCGTGCATCCCCTCGCTCGTGCAGTGAAATTTTAACGCTCCCGCCCTCCTACACCCTTTATTTCCTAGTGTTTGGTACAGCCACTTGGTTCCCTTCGGCCTGTCCGTTGGCCTGCCTTTGGCTTCCCATTCGCTCCGGACCTGGCGGTCTGTCACTCTCTCCACACGAAGCGGCTTCCAAACCTTTCTTCCCGCCACTCGTGCTATCACGTGACTCATCAAAGCCTTCATTCTGAAGCCTCTCCGCCAGGCCCCACGCGCACTCTCTAATCGCCCAAACGCTCTCTTTTGTGTCTACATATTTATATTCACACAAAGAGCCAGATTATAGTTTAATTACACTCTCCCCACCAATATTTCTAACGTGCGAAATAAAACTTATTGGGATTAATGATGGTGACCCGCTCAAGCGCTCAAGGGTTGCATGCTGAGATCATCACATTCACACTCCGATTGTGGCATTGTCTGACAGGGCATGATATCCCCAATAACACTCGATTCACAGCTTACCACCAAGGATTGTCAACTCTGACCCGACACCGACCTACACCAGCCGGCTCGAAATCATCATGGACGGCTTTTAACTCGCCTCTATTCTTGGTGGGGATGTACACTGGGGCTGTGTCATTGAGGAGGCTAGCGGGAAGTTTGAGAAGCCGAACGCTCATTAGCGCTTACTGATCACGCACACGATTCTCCATTGTATGCTCGTATCACTCGTGGCCACGTCTCCCTCCCAGTGAGTGAGGTTCGGTATACGCAATGCATTACTTTCAAGTGCTACTTATTACTGAATAGACCAACACGCATATCCTCAGAAGGGGAGGAACAACATACGCCTTATCGGCAGGAGGTTCAAGACCAAAGGAAACTTGATCTTGGGTATTGAGGGTATAGGGGTAATTCCACCGGATTCAGGCCGAACAATTCAAAGGTACCATAATCAGGGACATATCTCTTTCAGCTTCATTGGGATACTCGATACCCCCGCTTCGGGGCTTGGGCATGGCGTTGGGGAGACAAATGTTTTTATGTACAAATTGCCACCGTCATCCATAATGGAGGACGTGGACTCCCTCCACACGTCCCTGATCAGCACTCTGCTGAAAAGGTAGCGTCAGTCCAAGTAGATACCACAGGGAAACTTATCCGCACCCAGCGAATACCCAGAATGCTTTCATCACCCAAGAAGAATTCATCAAAATCATACTTTTCCCGCGATGAGCACACCGTATATGGCAAGAGCGAATATACCGGAGTTTCGAAGCAGTCGTGTGGGTCATTTAATGGATCCCGAGATCGAATGACTGCCTTGGCTGGCAATTGTGATACGAAAGGCAAAGGATCTGTCCCCTCTACAAGTAGATCGGGGGAGGTTTTCAGTACTCTGCCGCCATACAAGTACGACGTCCCTTCAGATCCTGTTGCGCCTTCTTCACCCCCACCTGACAACTCCGCCCCGATGCATTCCTGATCTAGTTCTTGACCATCCTCGTCCTGAAACTTCGCCTGCGAACTATCTCTCTCCATAGTCAAAGCTCTCGCCACGTCTATCGGGTTGAAGTTAAATACAACCAATGGCGCTGCCGTGCTCATAGGTGACGGGATATATTTCTGGCCAAACACCGCTGCAATCCACCCTATTCGGTACCCATGTATAGAGTCATTGAACCATCGGCATGCAGGTGGTCCCCAGTCATCATATGCAACAGGCATTGGTCTATCGCCAAAGGATATGGATGTAGAGAACATGTCGAGGTATCCCACAAGAGAACTGCGATGGATAAAGAATGAGAATACGGCCGCATCGTTTTGAGGGGCAACAGCCGACTGGATGATGATGTTAAAAATAGCTATCGCATGGTGTGGATCAGCATAGAAGGGTTTTGACACGTGCGATTCATCATATGGGGAGGGTGAAGCATAACAGTAAATATTCCGGAAGACCCTTCCTGGGCGGAGCTGAGGTAAGGAGAGAATAAAGAATGGGCGGTTGGAAGTCGGCTCTGATTGGTTCTGCGGAATTTTGAAGTATTCAAGTTCTCCAGTGCTTGCGTTGGGAAGTAGGAAAATATCTGTGGTGAGGAACAAAGGGTGCCAGTATGAGCCAAACGGTGCACTAAGTCTCTGATTTGCATTTTAGAATCAGGAGGGAGGGAGGGTGAGAGTTATTACGAACCATCTTTAGCTTGCCGATTTTCCACTCATATACATATACCTGGTCGTCAGGTTTACGCATGCCCAGGCGATCCCGCAGAAATATCACCAGATTCTCCCCAGCGCACGCCGTCGCAGCCCTAAGTTGTCCAAATTCATCTTGCATTTCAAAGGCGATGTCTCGCTGAGCATCGGGATGGGGCCCTCCCGTTGATAGTTGGCTAAGATGAACCTGAACCCTATATCTAGTGCGAGGTACAACTGTGTTCGTGTGCACGGTTTGTCGTTCTCTGCCAAGATTCTGCTATCAAGAGTAGACGCACCATTATAAACACAATTACTCACGCCGTGAGAAAAATACAAAGATCGTGCTCATGGGCGCGCACTGCTACATCGATCAACGTTTGCTTTGGGCAGGTCTCCTTCCACTTGGCCTCTTGTGTGACTTCATTAGGAACCTGTACTTCACGGAGGATCCCATCCGGATATAAGAGAGAAAGAACCCCTCCGAAGAAACGACGTCTATTCCATCGGGTCGTGAGGGGAACTTCAATGTTCTTGTTGAATTTGAATTTGAGCTCTTCCCAGCGACGTTCTCTCGTGATAAGTTTCCTGAGTCGCTCAGGAATGGAAAGACTACAGCGAGGGTTGTCTGCCAATCCTGATATACCAAGGTGAATATAGTATTGAAGCTCGGCTGACTCAGATACGAGGTTCTGGAGGTAATAATTAACCCCCTGGCAGATCACTACCGAAGTGAAGGGAAGGAGAAGGAGAACGTGCATCAGAACTTCCAGCGGCAGATCAAGGAGCGTTGCCACCGTAGTTGATGACTTTTAGAAGCATAAACACCTTCATTAGACTCAGAGCATCCTTGTTGGTAATAGATACTCACGCCATTCACCATCTTTCTTGCCTTCCTCCTCTCCTGCGATCGAGGCTCCTCTTGTTGTAGTGTCATCTTCACTTCAGGCTTGGCTTTTTGTTGTCTATCGACGTCACGGCTACAAGCCCAACCGTTTGTCCTGGAGAAACGACTCAGAAATTTGACGTTGGAGGATGCACGTCATACCTCAACGAGGTCTCAACTGGTACTCGATCTCCAAGGAGTATACGAATAATGAGGTCCCCTGAGCACACGAATTTCGGCAATTTATCAGCTACATGTTGCGAACAATAGAATAATGACATGGTACACACCTGTTACCGAGTTGGCAGGTAACTCGTCCCAATACAGGGATGGGGCGTGGATTGAAAGAAAAGTGGCACGTTGTTCATTCGTCAGCTAGAAGACGGAGCGCTAAGGCTGAAGCGCTCAGGCTGAATAGCACGTGAGCGAACATTTAGTCGCCGGCAGGGAGGAGGACCCTGACTACAAGTGTCCTCCTAGACAGGGTATGTAATACATACAAGCAGCGCGGCGCAAAATTGACGGAAGGAATCCTTTGGATACCTGTGGACCGCTGACTCAGTCGAGTGAGTCAGGCGCTTACCAAGAGCTAGGGAGGGATCACAAAGGTCCGGTAGCTCAGTGGTAGAGCATATGGGCTAGTTACCTAAGGTCACAGGTTCAATTTCTGTCCGGGTCACTCTTATTGAGTTGAGTTGCTCATGATCGAATTTGGGTCCGAGTCCCAAATTGCGATAAAAATCAAGGTACGACGGATGCAAGAAGCTGTGCGATCTAGGTCCGGAAGTTCACCCTATCGCTTCTTGTATCTTTTGGGGGGTCATCTAATCACGAGTCCCACTCCAAGACGACTTCTCTGACAGTATTCAACTGACTTGCTGAACATCGGCGAGAGAGATGGTGTATAGAGGGGTTGGGGTTTCCGATGCCGAACACCCTAGCAGCCTATGATCACATCATAGCGTCTGAGATTGTCAACCCTGGCGAGGCCTGACTAGCAACTTTCCAGGCACATACTGATTATGAAGTAGTGGCTGGTAGAGCGGAAGATGATTACAGATCTCTAATCAAAAGAGCACTGCTTCTACAGAAACGCGAGGAAGAACTTAACAGAATCTACAGTACATCGCAGTTCTATTCGGAGGTGATGCGCATATATGTACATATGCATTGAAGAAACGCGAACATAGTTGATAAGAAAATAATGCGAGCGCGGCTGCGTCCGTCAGTGGCTTTGGCAACAAGCTTCCGAGAGTCTAGTCAACGAGAGAGAGAGAGAGAGAGAGAGAGAGAGAGAGAGAACGTTCCAGAACTTAGGTGAGGAAAACTTTAGGACATGAGTAGGGAGTACATTCACTAACCGAAGAGTATCTGCCATACCGCTAATGACCCAAGCCTTTCAAAACATCAATGCATTTTCGGCGGGGGTCCCATAAGAGATAAATCAGAATATCAATAGTACAATATTCACGGAAACACGAGGAACATGGCGGCCTGCATGGTCATCTGTACCCGCATCGGCACGTCTTAGGCTCAGGCGTGCCCGACCTACAAGGATGCCGACGTTCACCGGGGCCCCGTGCCAACCCGTGCTTCATAGCGCCTCATGTGATTATCCAGGCTCGAGTGCGAGTATCTAAGAGCAGATATCGAGGCGAACACCAAGCATACCGCGTCGCACACTGTAGTAGTTATGATGAGATAGTGAAACCAACTGGGGTTGGGGAGAGGAACGTAGTCCCCACCACAGGCATGGCGGATTCTCTGGATAATGCAAGCGATGAGAGCGATGGAGTACGGAATCATGGCCCTTAAAGCGTGTATTCATTACCAATACTCGCATCCGAGTGCAAATAAACGTACCAGGCGACCATGGCGTGCTACAAAGAGAGTAGAATACAAATGCTCCAGAAAGAATTTGTTTCACTTCTTGCTTCCTAAAACATTTCAGTCATTACGCTGAATAAAAGAACATAGTACATACAAGAGCCAATGTAGGGGCCATAATGCCACACGCCACTGGACGGCACATTAAGCACAAAGGACCACCATGAAGTATACCCAAGAGGAACATGGTCGACGTCCATTTCAGCGTAGCGACCACGAAATCATCATCACCGCGATTGACCAAAACCAAGGCAAACACCCCGCACTTGCAAATATGAACAACATGAAAAAGAGTATCACGAATAAATGTATACCACTCACAATAGCGAGGACCCAGAAATATCTGTAATCCTAACAGCTACCTTGTCCACACGTTGGCAGAACTTATGCCAATCCTTCTTGAGTTTCTGCTCGGCCGGTGCTCGTTACCAATGAGGGCCCACAAGGCGATCTGGTCAATTTGTTGGATAGACAGGCCCTCGAACGTCTGGTTGTCCTGTTCCAAATACCAGGTGGGCCAGCCAAAGAGAAGGTGCTGAGAAATAAAGAGGCCGGGTACGCGGGCCTGTGCCCTCGGCTCTGTTTTGGGCGATCGGTCCTCGCTGACATGAGCTTTATTAATGTCATCCTAGACAGAACATTACCCCCTCATATCAATCTCCGTTAATGGGTGGAGGGAGGGTCAAGGCGCTCACTATGCTGCAGTGGACACAAGCATTGACTTGTGCAACGGTGAGGAGGTGTGGGTGACAATGAATGTTGTCGAGACAAGATATGATCGATATGATGAACGTCGCAGAAGTAAATTAGTTCAACGTTCAGGGTTCATGGTTCAACGTCGTTAGTTACATCATGGCCTGCAAGGTTCAAGTTCCGGGACTGCACCGCGGATATAACTACTATAATGAGCATATACTTATCCAAAAACGAAGCCACAGTGTTGTAAGATAGAAAAGGCAAGCCCCTGTCCCGTAGTATTCGTGAGAAAGTCAAGAACATCAATGGCGATATCTAGTCTGAATCTCAGGCCTTCTGCGCCAGAAGCCATCCTGCCATGTTTGAGGCACACCCTCGTAACTAATAGACAGTGTGTCATGTCTAGAGTTTCTGTTGATCCAGTCTCGATACCTGTGACCTGAGTGGCAGGCGAAAAGGTTGGGATGAGTCGAGGTGTGAGCTCGACGGACCGCGCGAGGGGGAGACTCGGCCCCGAAGTTATTTGTGTATCAGAAGATGCAATCTTCCAGTCTATTATGTTACGACCTGAGTCTTTCAGGGGCCTAAATGCGATATCATTATGAATTGATTCCAAAGAGATAGATTAGAACGTTCTGGCCGTCAAACAGTCTGGAAGTCCTCGGACCCTTCTTTGGTGTATAGTCACGACGCTCATTATCTAGGAATTATGACTTCGTTCAAAATATAGTCTGCAGTATGGAATGCAAAGGGTAATTTTCTAAGAGATCACCTCGATCCCTAGATAATCCTGCAAGAGACCTTCGGCGTCTTTCCCCTTCCGAGGAGTAAATTTACATTCAAACGGCAGTGGTTCCCTAAAAGATAACTTCAATCCAACAATCGCTCCCCAAAAGGTGTGGATACGCACGACACAAGAGAAGCAGCGACAAATTCAGGTACGGCTTCAATAGGCTTTCCGTCTGCGTCGAGTGCCTGAGAGATATCGAACAAAGAGAGAATAGAAGCACAGATGAGGTACAATGTAGATAATCCTATGTGAGCTCCAGGACATATCCTAATGGGAACAGAGTGTGATCAAGACGAAGGTGACCAGGAAGGCACGTACATACCTTCTCCCAAACCCGAAAGTGGCGATAACAGCGGGGTCTAGGATATTATCCAAAAGAATGCCATCCTTGATGAATCTGTTCGGGTTAAACTCCTTTGGATTCGGGAATATTTCTTTATCATAGAGAATTGCGCTCAAAGAGAATCAGCAATTGGTGTGAGGTCAACGAAACACGCAATGCTCACTAAGTATTTGACATGATCGTGCAATCCTTCGGAATATAATACCCCTCGTAGACGTCCTCTTCTGTCGTCATATGGGGAAGACCTACAATCTGTGAGTCACATAATACCAATCCGGAGGCCTGATGGATTTACTCATTGGTACGATCGGGTTCCAGCTGTCCATATCTTAGGCTTGTACGAGTTTCAATTAGACAGAATTACCTACCGCAAAACTTCCTTTATGATCGCCGATAAATAAGGCAGCCGTGGCCGATCTGAGAAATCTGGCAACCGATCTGGACCAACCACTGAGTCGACCTCTTCCTGAGCTTTGCGTTGAACGTCCGGATAATTGAACATGGCTAGCACAAATGTCATTGTAGCTGCGACGCTAGTCTCGGAGGCGGCTGCGGTAATATAACACGATGAGGTTTCTGGTTGTGCAGTGGGCCTCACTCTACTCACCAGCAAAGACATCCGTAGCAGTTTGTTTGATGTGCAATGCTTGATGCTCATAGTCTGGTGCGTCCCGGTACTTCTCCAAGCTTGTAGCGACAAATGACACAGGGGCAGTTCCGTCGTCCTATTTGATACATGTAGCAATAGTTGAAATAGATATACAAGTGATGGACGTACCATTCTCTTCAACGTATCTAAGTAGGGACCCTCCTTGAGCAAGTTTAGTTGCTCGCCAGTTTGACGTCCAATGGTCTTGAAGGTAGCACCCGGGACCCATTCCGGTACATATTTGAGCATAGGCACAATATTGACGAGGAACCTGCCGGGAGCGACAGCTTCAACAGACGCGGAGAGCGTTTCTTCTGACAGCTGGATGAGGGGGTCGTGGTTCCGTAGGACAGGGAGTCCATAAGTAAGGGACAATGATAAACCACCGATGCAGCTGAAAGAAGGAAATTAAATCGGATTGGGGAAGCACGAAATTATGAGCCAACGAGCTTACCCGCGCACATGGTCATGGACGTGTTGAGGATCCTGATAAATATTCGGCAAGAGCGCCTTACGAACAAACTCCATTGTTCGTTCTTGGTCTCTGGACAATGTTTTCGGAGAGAAGTGCTGCTGGAGTAAGCGACGATGGTTCCTCCACTCTTCTCCATAGGGCATCATGGAAAAGTGGTCGGTGGCCCCGACCCTATGAGGTGAAATTATGAATCCCTTGGTATGCAATATTACCATACGATGTACGTACACGTCGTGAAACATTGCGAGGCGAGGTCTTGGGAAGGGTTCAGCCAGGCGGCCTACCTCGACACTAGACGGATATGTACTGACCGGCTTGAGTACAAAGCTGAACGCTTTTCAAGAAGCTCCTTTGCAATCCGGGCGTCATTGATAACAATGATAGATCTACCAAAAGCTTCGAGATACATTATTTTCGACCCTGCATTATATTGTTAGTGCGAGATGACGCATGCCACAATAACTCTGAGCTCACCGAGCTTTCTCTCAAGCTCTTGATAAAAGACGTGCACATAAGTCAAGGGTATTTGGAAGGCATTTCCAACAAGTGGCCATCTCGGGAGCGACGGTGGTAAAGGCAAACGTGACCTTCGCTGATTGCGATAAATAATGTGAAGTAGACCGCAAAAACACAAGAAGATTATATCTCGCAGGCTCAGGATCGCCATCTGTGATGGAAGACAGGCCACCAGAAGTGCAGCTATTTATTCATATGGCCGGTCTCGAAAGAGATGGAGAACGAGCCATGAGAGACAGTTGAACTCTCGCCTTGGTGAGATGAATGTGGTATGTAGTGATCAAAACAGAAGGCAGATAGAAGGCGCTTCGATTTCACATTAT